TGTCATGCTGTGGTTGTCATACTTTGGCCACCTCTGATTTCCATCTTGCTAAATCCGAATATGGCACTGCACCTTAGTATCATGTAGCTTCTTTCATATGAATCTATAACCACACACACACACACACACACACACACACACACACACACACACACACAACACACACACAGCACCTTAGGTGGCCTGGCTTGCAAACTTGATGTAGTCATGATTAGCGACCCCTGATGTGTCTCTGATATATGGTGTGTGTGTGTGTGTGTGTGCGTGTGCGTGTGCGTGTGTGTGAGGCAGTTCATTTGCACGTGTGCCTGTATTTCGAGTCTATCTCAGTGGTGTTTTTTGACCTTTTAACTCTAAAACAAACAACATTTGCTGCTCGTGTCCCGCTGGTGTGTCAGTACATAACCAGCATGCTAATTAATTTGATTTGCTCAAACAGAAGCCCAGATGTAAATACTGCGTTACTTCACAAAAAGACAGTATTTAAAGACTGGGGACAAGATGATGGACTCTATATCCAAAATAAATCAAATCATAATCTTGTGACCTTTTAGGGACGTTCAGACCCTGATACTGACAACTACCCTCTTTTTATTCAAATATGAATGACTGGACAATACTAGAGGGGAGTGGAATACAGTTTCCCAGTTGTAGAATAAACTGGGAAAGACTAGAGTAGACTAGAAGAATGCTTCAACTCTGCATAATTGATTTCTAATAAATAAGTGATGATGTAAAGGTGAGGAGGATACGGATGCTTGTGTCCTGATCTTGGCTTGGACAAACACACCCTCATGTTAATTAGACATTGATTTCTACATCACTAAATAATGGAAATATTCATTAGCTGTCAGCAGAAAAATACATAATGGAGGGGGGAAAGAGAAAGTGAGCCAAAGAGTGTTGGGGAAGTCCAAAAGAAGCTGAGGCTTGTCTTGGGGTTTCGGCAGCACAGGTCAAACAAGAATTATACAGATAATAAAATACTACAGCCAAGAAATAAGACTTAAAATGGTGCAATGTAATAAACATACAGAAACCAATACAGTTCAAACCTGAATCATGTCTTACTCAAAAAATGCTAAATTCGGAATTAGGAATCTAAATGGAGTAAATGCTGTTTACATGACCCTTATCAAATGTCATATTTAGAATAATAGACAGTGAATATGTTTCCATGCACTCTATTTTTCCACTGTCTTTCTCAAGAAAAGAGTTTTTGCTGTAGTCCTATATGTTATTTGTCACTGACTGGTTGTTATGACAGCATTATTTTTTTAAAGAAGCTTCTCTCTTCAGATTTCTCTACCGGGATAATAAAGTATATCGTATTATATCGTATCTTAAAATGATGATGAATGTTTACAAAGCAATGCAGCAACGCTTTCTTTTAGAAATGACATTTTTGTGCTACTAATTTACTGCTTACAGTAAATATGTTGTGGCAGTAACATAATGCTTCAGGGATTACCTTTTTTTTAATTCAGTCTATGCTCATTGATCCTGTTTGAATGAGGTGGGCGAGATAAACACCTCATAAGTATAACACAATGCAATTCAACAGCACCACAGACTACAGCCTTCAAAGTTGAATCAACACCTCTTTAAAGCAGTTCCAACAAAGACTGGAAATATAACCTTTATGAAGTTGTTATTTATTGCAGGTCAATCTAGGATAAGCTAGATGTGCCCATTAAACTGACAACTGAGTGTAGTTAAAACTTCAGTGTGCCACCATTTCCCGTCTCTCAGTTCTTGTTGCATATTAAACACTTGGCGTAGAGAGTCGGTGTATTGGACCATTTTCACCACTAAAACCTTCCGTCTGAGGCACATTTCTGTCATATGCCGACTTTGGCAAGGTGGGCCCAACCTTGTGCCAATAAAACTCACTGAACTTAATTGACTGATTTTAGGAAGAGCGAGGGAGAAGAGGCATAAACAAAATGCAGCAGAGAGACTTTAGATATAGATAATTATGAATTATGATTCTATGCTGGACATTTTCAAGATGTAGTCTCTTAACAATAGAAATCAAATGTATAACCTATTGTTTATGGGGTTTAAACATTTACAAAGTGAAAGAGAGAAGAGTTTTCCCTTAAACCATTTTAGACAATGTCACAAAACCTACTTTGAAATATTGGTTTCTCTTTTGACCGATACAAAAAGTCTAAACACGACAGAGATAAAAAGACAATCAAACTGTAATTTATATCAACTGAACTGTTACACTCCAAGCTCGACTTAAATATCCATCTGTTCTTAAATGCAGCAAGTATTGATCGCCACTTCACCCAACACACTGCAGAGCAACAGGCTGGCTTTTGGCTGTTGAGATGAATAGCATTAAGCGCTTAGGACAAAAAATGCCAAGACCCTCCCAACTGGCTGGCTGGAATTTACTAAATTTAACACACCCTGTCACGCTCACCTGGAAAGGGAAGGGAACAAATACCAGACAGTCAGTAGGGACCTCTGAAGGGCACTAGGCTGAGGAAGATTTGACATGAGTCGAAGTTTAGGTGCATCATCCGTCTACATTTGTTATGAAAGGTTTCATATTTCCAATATGGTTGAAAAACAAGAAAACTATTGCATATTTTCTTGCTTGTTGGTTTGTTTTATACAAATTGTATGCAATCTTTTGGATCAAATCTATCTTTACCCAATTAGAAAATACAGGAATAAAGTCAGCTGGTGCAGGAAACATAAATAGTCATCCAGGTAATACAGGTTGAAATGGCATCTTTTCAAAGTCCATGAAACTGCCAACAGCTTGGAAAGAGACAGAGAGGTAACAAAAACATCAGTATTCATCATGCATGTAGATTCTCAAGAATTATGTTTTTGATAATTAAAAAAACTCTCCACCATTATTTTTACATAATTTGCTCAAGTCATTTCCCCAGCTCTTGACAATCATCTATAAATGTCTCTTCAGTAAACATACTTCCTCATTATCTTCTGTGACTTTTGATTCTAAGCACTTGTCTTAGTCTGAGTTGCGAGATGTCAGCTGCGTGTTGTTTCAGCCTGAAACTGCATCTCCGACTGAAATTACAAATTCCTAAATGGCCAATACTCAAAATTTAAATTACACTCAACCTCATTTTAATTTAAGTTTACAGTTCCACAAAATCGAGACATTCAGCCTCAAATCCATCAAAACAACTGTGTGGATGAAGACAGATTACATAACTTCTGAAATACTGACTGACTTTGAAATCCAATTGCATCATGCACTAAGGGCCCTGCTCAAAGAACTGGCACCAACAAAGGCTACTTCATGTCTTATCTGTTGAAGTTGCGCTTGAACACACCACTCGTGCTCTGTGCATGCTGTGGAAATAACAGGTCAGTAGTCTGTGTTCATCAAACAAACCAAAAGATATGCCACTGTGAATCTGACTAAACTGTCCGGTCATATGCTTGAAACAGAAATTGAGAAAATGATATAAAATTGCAAGTAGGTTTGTTTTTATTCACACTGGCATTGTTCATGGAGTTTTTGAAAAAAAGAGCAAGAGTTGATATCACTGGGTCACTAGGTTAAACAGCCAATCAGAGATCTAGCTGTCACTGACTGCTCACATAAACCTGGTGTAACCACAGCATCAGACTGTTGGCTTTCTTTGTTTTGGCCCAAAGGACAAACTCAACATTCATTTTTGTTTTTGTATAGAGACTAAAAATTAAAACCCAGCGGTCAGCAGTCCTAGTAGCTTCAGAATAATTAAAGAAAAAACTGATATTTGAACTTTATTTGCTCATCTTATATATTCCACAGCTTTTATGATCATAGTGAATCAGCAGGTATTTCCTCAGGAGGTGAATCCCTTCAGTAAAAACCAGATGTGTTAAAAAGGTGTACATTATGTGCCTCTGTGTGTATCTCCAGATGAGTGTACCACACTGTAAAGCTGGAACCTTATTCTGTTGTCCAGATAGCATGACAGGGAAACCCCAATCACACACACGAGTCAGAGAGTGTGTGAGTGTGTGTGGGAGAGAGGTAGAGTGAGGAATCCTATTAGAGAGACAGACTTTGAAATAGAAATCCTATGGCAGTAAAATGAGTGCACTGTGAGGGATCTCATGACAACAGAGAGAGAAAGAGACACGCAGAGAGAGTACAACGAGAGAGAGAGAGAGAGAGAGAGAGAGAGAGAGAGAGAGAGACAGACAGACAGACAGACAGATAGACAGAGAGAGAGAGAGAGAGAGAGAGAGAGAGAGAGAGAGAGAGAGAGAGGGGAGTAGAGACTGTGCGCGAACCCTATCCTTGCGGAGGGATCAGGCGGTAGGACCCAGGGGAAACCTCACAACTTAAAAAGCCTTCATTGCAGTGAAGCTCGCAACAAACAGCGGAGATTGTACCGGAACCTGCACTCAAATAAAAGCCTCTGATTGGAGACATTACATTAACTGTGGAACACACCTGCTGCTGTAAAATACGTTCTATAAAAAGAAACATTTTTGCTTTGTTGTTGTTTATTTTCTGTCTCCGTGTCCCACAATTTAATGCCTCAATGAGCAATTGGGATACTCAGTGGGATACGCATTCACCTCTTCACATTTTGTTTTCATGAAAAAAATCTTTAGCAGTTAATTGTTTGAAAAAAGTGAATAAAAGTGTTAAGACGTCTTGTTTCCTGTAAAACACAAGAAGGCACGTCTCTTATATACGTTAAGAATGTCTTTAAGTTGACATAATGAGAAAATAAACCTGGGAAGTTGAAAATAAATCTGAAAGCCAGGCACATTTCTCCTCACAGTATCAATACGCTTCCCAGAAATTGTCCAGCGATGTATTTGCGCCTCTTCTGTTCAATTCTGACCTCTCTCTGACGCTTTGTGACTATTCCCTGCTGTTAAAATTCAATTTCCATTCTGCTATTACTTGATCTTATTTTGAAACTCGCGGTCGGAAGTTGTGCACGCGTTAATGCGCGCGTCTTTACGCGGGTGTCTGGAACCCGGTGTGGTGCGCACTGCTCTCCATTCCTCTCCAACTCAACGTCAGTCTGTCAGAGACCGTCTGAGCGCGCGCACACACACTCTGTGCCCCTCTCACACACTCTCTGGCACACACGCGGGCATTGACGCACACACACACACACACACACAGGCTCGCTGTGTCGGACCCGGGAGGAGAGGAAAAGAAAGGAGAGAGCTCCTGTTTATTTGCCTCCAACTTCTCTCTTTGCTTCTACTTGTGTCTTTCTGTCTCTTCTTGTCCACCAATGCGAGGATTGTATTACTGTTCTCACTGTTGTTATCACTGCTGTCCCGAACTAAGGAAAACCAGTTTAAGGACCAGACGGGAGTATGTAAAATAATCCGCACGACTGAGCAAAAACACGAAGAAAAAAGAAGAAAAGAAATGGATAAACGGAGTTATTCTCTCGTTTTGCCTGCAGCTTTCCTCTACTTTGTACTTTTGGGATTTACTGCCGGACAATTCTTTCCAGGTAAAGCGATCTGTCTGTTTAATTTGTGGGTTTTTTTTTAAAATCACTCATACTGTCTGTGTTTTGGTGCGCTTTAATCATTTCTTTTGAGTCTGAATCGGCAGTGAAAGCCACGGCGATGAAGTGGTGCACAAGAGAATATAAGATGCACATACACGTTGATTTGTGCGGATCATGCAGCTGCAAATGTTATATTGTTGGATATTGTGATGGTAAAACATCCCTAAAGTCTAGTTTGGAGCACATTCTCAGTTGTTGAATAGAATTTATGGCCGTGTGTGCGCGCAGGGGTCTTAATATATATCATACCATAAATCACTTGTTTATGGAAATAAGTGATTTATGACAGAATATAGCGGGTGGTGCTGATAATGGATTGTTGTTTGCTTCATATCGGGCTCTTCCCTCACAGCTCTGGTGTGCGCGCTGGAGGTTTGGTGTGAAGTTTTGGACACTTTGGGAGGTTTAGCTCCATGAAGCTTCCCGGAATGTATGCTGTTGAGGGTTAATATGTGACTTGGGTGTTGTTGTGTTTATATGTAGGTTAGGTTTCGCTGTGAACTCGCTGGGTGTTTTTAGATGCGGGCGGATCGGTGCGTCTTGGCTCCGTCTCAGCGCAAACTGTCTGTGAAAGCGTCCCCTGGTTTATTTATTCAGTGATGAGATTCATATTTTGTCGTGTGCTACAACAATCAAGCACAAGTATTACTGTACAGCAGTGTCATGGGATATATAGTCCATTCACCAGTCACAATTTATGCAGCTTTTATTCAACTTTTAGTCGCAAATAACTGATCTGACATCTAATTTACACATCGTCTTCTCCGTTTGCTTCTCAAAAGAGCAATCACAGCCGATGCTGTATTCATCTTTAAGTCAATATGCAGCTGCTCAGTTTCATCCCCCGGAGTTGAAGCTTCGGGATCGTCTCACATCCCGCAGCAGCACCACGGCAGTCAGGAGCCAGCACTTGTCTGGCACTTGTTACGCGCCGGAGAGGTTTGGAGAGTTTGCAGGCTCGCAGTGTTTTCCAACCTTAGATCGAATCAGTGATGATTGTGATTATCAACCATGACAAAAAGAAGCTTTACAGAGAAATAAAAGCAGCCAGCAGCCGGATTAAAGCAGAGCTGACTTAAAGTTTGCTCCCACAAACATATCCAGCTTCATTCCTCGATAAAACACACAAAAGCCTCAGGATAATATGGAGATGAATCGAAGTGCGGTTATTTAGGAGTTTAAACATGTAATGATTGTTAAACGCATTTTGTACAATCAGAATAAAATCACATTGTGTCTGTCTGGCCTTGAGAATAATCGGCTGTCTCGCATGATCCATGAGTTAAAACCGGATTTTCTGTCTGTTTAAAAAAAACTGTGATAAAAGATGAGACTTAATCACATCGTCGGTCTGAGTGTGTCCTATGCTGCAACTCCGCATCAATCAGTAAGCCAAGTTAAGGCTGCGGTAGCAGGAACAATCTCTTTAAATCAGTGATGTTTTCAGTAGACTGCTGCGGCAGCCTGTCGGCTCTGTGTCCGCCTCTCTCTCGGCACCTTCTGCTTGGTATTCATGACTTGTAAGGTTGCAAAAAGAGGCTACTTTGAAGGGAAGACTGGCTCCAAACAGTGAGTCCTCCCTCCCTCCCTCTCTCTGTCTCTGGCTCCGGCTCTGCGCTGCAGCGCGGCGGAGCAGCCGACCCTCTCTCCGTGCGTAATGGTGCAGCGGAGAAAACCGCTACATTGCGTGTTATGGTGAAATAACAAGTATCAGTTTCGCCAAAACTGATGTGAGTGGACGCCAGAAACAAGCCTTGAACAACACAATGTGTGCTTTAAACTCAGCACATTGATATCGGCAGACATGTAGGAGAGAACACTGTTTAAACCCACCTTTAACTGATGAAATAGAGCTGGTCTTCAATGTAGATTCATAGTAAATATTGCAGTACAGCTTCATGTGCTCATGAGGATGTGGTCGGGGTAAGAAGGAGAAACCAGGAGATTTTTCAGACTTTTTATTTTTTCTTGTATTGCTTTACAAGTCAGACTTTGAGTTTTGCTGGGATATGTGTGTCATTCTGAAATCTGCCCATAACCAGTTATTTCATTGGGAGTGTGTGTTTGTGCAGCGTCTGTGCGTGTGTGTGTGTGTGTGTGTGTGTGTGTGTGCGTGTGTGCGTTTGTGTGTCTGTGTGTGCGCTTGAGAGAGACTGGGAAAGAGAGCTGAGCGATATTTCACTGACTGTTTGCTCCTGTGCCGTTAGGGGGCGACATTGGTACATCAGATCTATCCATCGTGTCTCACTCACACACACACACACACTCTCTCTCTCTCTCTCTCTCTCTCTCTCTCTCTCTCTCTTTCACACACATGTTCACAGAGCGACCAGAGTGATTCTAATAATCTTTCTTATTCCAATTCCAACTGCTGGGTTTTGTTTTTAGAATAAATGTGAAGAAACCCATTCAGCAATAATGATTATAGACTGAAAGTCAGTGATGAAGAAAATGATCTCACCCTGAGTCTGTCTGTGTGTCTGTCTGTCAGTCAGTCATACTGACATCTTGTAGAAGTGGTAATCGCCCTCTCAGTCGTCCGAATATAGGAGGTCTGGGGGTGTGTGGTTGCCTGGCCAAACAGCTCAATTTGCAGACCATGTTGCTCTCATCACTCTCACTGAGGTAGAACTTTCAGCTAATAGCTCAACACTTCAGGAAATTAAACTGAAACTGCATCTACCTGGCTAGATACCCCTAGATCTCCCACCAACGGTCTGTGTTGACCTCCTTTATCCATGAAGGTGACTGTTCCCTAACCTGAACCAAGTGTTTTTTAGTTACCTAAACTTAACCAAACCTTAAAGGAATAGTTCAACATTTTGGGATAGAGTCAGATGAGAAGATTACTACCAAGCATGTACCACAAATATGAAGCTTCAGCCAGCAGTCGGTTGTCTTAGCTTAGCATACAGTCTGGAAACAGGGGGAAACAGTTGGTTTGGCTCTGTGCAGAGAAAACAAAGGCCTATTTGAACAATTGATCTGTAGCTTTAAGCATATTGAAGATTCTGATTTGGGTCATTTGGAAAGCATTGACAGATGATCTGTTTTGTCATTTTGGAATGAGGACTTAGTTGCTGGTATTTGGGTGAACTTACTTTCTAAAAATGTCTCGTTTCTTCCCTTTCGCAGTAGCTTTGTGTTCAACAAAGCAAAGGCATGTGTTACTCAAGGCCGTCCTTTTCATCCTGCGTGTGTGTTGGGTGCAGCTGGGCTCCTGATTCATGCCTTTGAGCTCCAGTGATCGCTAATTGTTGAACATCCGGTCGGATCTAGAGGTGACAACTAGGGCGTTGAGGTGTGTGTGTGTGTGTGTGTGTGTTTTCAGGGAAACCAATTTACAATTTATATGCCACTTAATTAGATTTCTTTGGCAGTAAGAAAGGACAGAAGGGGAAAGAGTGAGAGAAAGAGAACGAAAGGAGAAAGAGAAAGGGAGTGACCATGTATCGCTTTCTCTCTCTGTCTCTCCTTGACTCGGTGTTGACATGTTGGAGGGACGTAGAGAAGTCTTTGGATTTGATCAAATCAACAGCCTTCAATTCCCTAATTATAGAGCCCTTTATGTGATTAGTGTGGTGTGTGTGTGTGTGTGTGTGTGTGTGTGTGTGTGTGTGTGTGTGTGTGTGTGTGTGTGTGTGTGTGTGTGTGTGGTGCTTCATGTGACAGAGACAGTGTCATACAAACAGAGGAGGACGGAAGAGTGGAAAGGTAAAGGTGAGCAGAGGAGAGAGGAGGAGGAATAGTAAATATGGGTGAAGGTGAGGAGAAAATAAGAGGAAGAGGTGAGAGGGCAGGGGCAAAGAATGAAAGAATTGGGGAAGAAGTGGGAGGAGAGGAGGGGAAGAACTGAGCTTAAGAGAGAAAAGAAAAGGAAGCAGGATGGGGAAGTCTGGGCAAAGAGGTGAGGAAAGAAGAGGAGGCAGTGAAGGCAGAAAAAAGAGAGGAGGAGAATGGAGTGTGGGTGCGGGGAGCTGAGAGGGGGATGGAAAAATGGCAAGAATAAGAGACAAAAGTGGGAGGAAAGAGGGGGATGAAGGAGAGGAAAGGTGAGGAGGACAGATGGGGAATGACTACAGTGATGTAGGGCAGGAGTGGAGCAGGTGAAGGAAGGATTGGTGAGAAGGATATGGAGAAGGAAAGATAGGAAGACAGTGAAGAAGAAGAGAGAAAATAGAGGAGGAAAGTAGGATAAGGCCAAGGAAGAAGAAGGGAACAGAAAAAAGACAGAAGGACCTTGAAGGAATAGGAGGCAAGGATAAAGGGAAGACTAAGGCAGAAAAGAGGAGAGGAGAAAGAAGGAGAGAAAAAGAGAAAAGAGGAGAGGATTTTAGGCAAAGGGAAGGTGGAAGGACAAAAGTGCGGTAAGAGTCCTGTCGTCTGTTCCCTCGTTCATCACTCCTGTCTAAATGAGATGAGGCAGAGGAAGAGGAGGAAAAGGAGCAGGACGAGTAAGATAGAAAGGCAAAAAAAGCAGATGGAAGAGCAAAAGACGAGTAGTTGGAGGAAATGACAAAGAGAAAGGATGACAGGAGGTCAAGAAAAGAAAAAAAATGACACTAAGTTGATTATGTCTCACTGTTATCGACTGTCTGAGTGGCTATAATTGTTTCCTCTGCTGTGTGTGTGTGTGTGTGTGTTCAAGTGAGAGAGAGAGAGAGAGAGAGTGAGAGAGAGCTTTATGACAGGATGTCTGTCACCTCATGCCCCACTCTGTTTAGTATGCTGTCCATCCTCCCTCACTGTGTGTGTGTCTGCCTAATCCACGCCACTTATTCTATTGGCCTGACTAACTGACAGCCTAATAGCAGGGCATGGTGAGTGCCGGGGCGTCGCGCGTGTCTGTGTGTGTGTGTGTGTGTGAAGAGAGAGAGAGAGAGAGAGAGAGAGAGAGAGAGAGAGAGAGAGAGAGAGAGCTGTTTCTTTGAATGAATACT